GGAAGGACCTTGGGAAAAGGGCCAGTGACCCACAGGCCAGGCACACAAAGACAGCATAGATTCCGGTGCTGGAAGCTGACAGCACACATCAGAGCCGGCCGGGAACACCGGGCACCGTGCTAGGCAGACACATGACACGGAGAGGCCCCGGCCACGGTGCACGTGACAGTCACAGGGCTGCCTCAACAGTGACATTTTCCTCCTGAAAGACAATGTACTGGACTGCCAGCCTTTTCTTTCTTTTTCTTTTTTCTTTTTCTAATTTTTATTTTTTGAGACAGAGTCTTGCTCTGTCACCCAGACTGGAGTTCAGCAACGAGATCTCAGGTCACTGCAACCTCCACCTTCAAGGTTTAAGTGATTCTCCTGCCTCAGTCTCCAGAGTAGCTGGGATTACAGGCACCCGCCACCACGTCTGGCTAATTCTTGTATTTTTAGTAGAGATGGGGTTTCATCGAGGGTGAGGCTGGTCTTGAACTCCTGACTTCAGGTGATCCACTCTCCTCGGCCTCCCAGAGTGCTAGGATTATAGGCTTGAGTCACCTCACCCACTGGGCATTATTTTTTTCTCTTTTGAGACAGAGCCTTGCTCTTGTCACCAGGATGGAGTGCAATGGCATGATCTCGGCTCACTGCAAGCTCCACCTCTGAGGCTCAAGTGATTCTCCTGCTTCAGCCTGCCAAGCAGCTGGGACTACAGGTGCCCACCAGCACCTGGCTAATTTTTGTAGAGACCAATTTAGCTAATTTTGCTAAATTGCCCAGGTTGATCTTGAACTCCTGGGCTCAAGCAATCCGCCTACCTTTGCCTCCCAAAGTGCTTGGATTACAGGCAGGAGCCACTGTGCCCCACCTCTTTTTTTTTTTTGCTTTTTAAGATCAAATAACAGGCTAGTCACGGTGTCTCCTGCCCACAATCCCAGCAATTTTGAAGGCCCAGGTGGGTGGATTACCTGAGGTCAGGAGTTCCAGGCCACCCTCACCAACACAGCGAAACCCAGTCTCTACTAAAAATACAAAAATTAGCCGGGCATGGTGATAGGCACCTATAGTCCCAGCTACCCGGAAGCCTGAGGCAGGAGAATTGCTTGAACCCGGGAGGCAGAGGTTTCGGTGAGCTGAGAGCAGGTCACTGTACTCCAGCCTGGGAGACAGAGTGAGACTCCATCTCAATAAATAAACAAACAAACAAACATGTATATATACAAGCTGCAACACGGGAAGCACTGGAAACAAGATTTGGCGGTAGATCTGGTCTACACGGCACTATTACTAGTAATAATAGTCAGAGCGGGCTCTGTCCCCTCAGGGTGGATGAGGAGCTGGAGGCTCACAGAGAGGGTAGAAATGTTCCACCAGCCCGGATGCCAGGCAGATGACACCAACTAGGAGGTGGGCCTTTTCCTGGTTTTATGGACCTCATAAAAAGAGATCAATTTTTTTTTCCTTTTTAAAGATAGGGTCTCACTCTGTCGCCCAGGCTGGAGTGCAATGGTATGATCTCAGCTCACTGTAACCTCCGCCTTCTGGGTTCAAGTTATTCTCCTGCCTCAGCCTCCTGAGTAGCTGGGACTACAAGCGCGTGCCACCACCACACCCAGCTCATTTTTGTATTTTTAGTAGAGACAGGGATTTCACCACCAGGGTGACCTCAAACTCCTGGCCTCAAGTGATCTGCCCGCCTCAACCTCCCCAAGTACCGGGATTACAGGCATGAGCCACAGAGGCCGGCCCACGTCACTACTTTTAAAGCTGGAAGAATCTTCACTTTCAGATATTCATGAGCAAGATAAGAAGCATAGGGGCCGGGCATGGTGGCTCATGCCTGTAATCTCAAGACTTTGGGAAGCCGAGTCAAGTGGATCACCTGAGGTCAGGGGCTCAAGACCAGCCTGGCCAACATGGTGAAATCCTGTGTCTACTAATAATACAAAAATGAGCCAAGCGTGGTGGCGCATGCCTGTGATCTCAGCGACTATGGAGGCTGAAGCAGGAGAATCGCTTGAAGCCGGGAGGAGGAGGTTGCAGTGAGCTGAGATTGCACCATTGCACTCCAACCTGGGCGACAAGAGCAAAACTCCATCTCCAAAGAAGCATAAGTGGGGAGGGGTTTTGGAGGGTTTTTTTAAGGGTACTGTTAGGTGTGGGTCCGTAAAACCTTAGGATGCCTTCAAGACTGTACTGGAGCTGTTAAGGGTGTTAAGCCCAATGACTTTCCTTCCGACCGGAGCTATACTATACAAGCAAATAAAAAATCATTCGCTGGCCGGGCGTAGTCGCTCACACCTATAACCAGCACTTTGGAAGGGCCGAGGCGGGAGGATCAATTTGCCTAGAAGTTTGAGACCAGCCTGGGTAACATAGTGAGACCCTGTCTCTACAAAAAAATGCAAAAATTAGCCAAGCATGGTAGTGTGCACATGTAGTCCCAGCTACTCCGGAGGCCGAGGTGGGAGGATCCCGGGAGTCTGGGTGGTCAGGGCCGGAGTGAGAGGTGACAGCACCACTGTACTCCAGCCTGTGCAACAGACTGAAACTGTCTCAAAAAAAAAATGGCTTCTTAAAAAATTAAAACATACATACACACACACTGAGTTGCGGGAGAGAGAGTATATAAATCACAGAAGTGGCTGGGCGCGGTGGCTCACCCCTGTAATCCCAGAACTTTGGGAGGCCAAGGCGGGCAGATCAACTGAGGTCAGGAGTTTGAGACCATCCTGGCCAACACAGGGAAACCCCATCTCTACTAAAAATACAAAAAAAAAAAAAAAAAAAAATTAGCTAGGAGTGGTGCTGAGCGCCTGTAATCCCAGCTACTCGGGAGGCTGAGGCAAGAGAATCACTTGAACCCGGGAGACAGAGGTTGCAGTGAGCTGAGATCACGCCACTGCACTCCAGCCTGGGTAACAGAATGAGACTATGTCTCAAAAAAAAAAAAAAACCTAAACCACAGAAGCTAAGGGATTGCCCCATCAAACCCATATAGTCTAGCCCCTCTGGAATTTATTCTGGCATCTAGTGTGAGCAGAGTCTAACTCAAATTTTTTCCCAAAATAATTAACACAGGATTTCTCAGCCTCAGCTCTGTTGACATTGGGGCCGTGTCATTCTCCAGGGTGGGGCCGTCCTGTGCACTGAAGGGTTTTAAGCAGCATCTCTGGCCTCCACCCACTAGATGCCAGTAGTGCACACACATTCACACACACATAGCCGCCCCCATTCAGGTGTGACAAACAAAAATGTCTCCAGACATTGCCAAATGTCCCCTGGGAGGGCGACATCACCCCCGACCCCCACTCGCGCACACACACATGCTGTTGAGAACCACTGGTCAAATTTAGTGACCATTATGGCCGGGCGCGGTGGCTCAAGCCTGTAATCCCAGCACTTTGGAAGGCTGAAGCAGGTAGATCACGAGGTCAGGAGTTCAAGACCAGCCTGACCAACATGGTGACACTCCCGTCCCTAATAAAAATACAAAAATTAGCCAGGCATGGTAGTGCATGCCTGTAATCCCAGCTACTCAGGAGGCTGAGGCAGAAGAATCACTAGAACCCGGGAGGCGGAGGTTGCAGTGAGCCAAGATTGTGACATTGTACTCCAGCCTGGGCGACAGAGCAAGACTCTGTCAAAAAAAAAAAAAAAAAAAAAATCAGTTGTTATGGCAAATGTGAGGTCCCAACCACATGGCCAAGATGGCTTACCCCACCTCCCCACCAGCTATACATCCAAGTCCTTGAGTGGGGAGGTCACAGACGGGAGGCGAGGAAGAGACTTCCTGGGAGGGCGGGACTGGAGGTTGCCCAAGGAAGCAGCCCCAGGAGGTCTGACCTTCACTTGAGGGGCAGCACAGGAAGTCCAGTCCAGCCGCTGATAACACTTAGACTCATGAAAGATACAATTTATTGTTGACTCTGTGGGAGGAGAGACTAGTGCCTCCTTGTTAAATTCCTCATCCCATCATCAGACCCTGGAAGGTGGGCCTTCTTCACCATCCCATCTTGCAAATGTGAAATTCAGACATTAGCCAGGCGTGATGGCACACACCTGTAGTCCCAGCTACTCAAGAGGCTAAGAAAGGAGAATTGCTTGAACCCAGGAGGCGGAGGTTGCAGTGACCCGGGATCGCGCCATTGCACTCCAGCCTGGGCCACAGAGCGAGACTCTAGCTCAAAAAAAAAAAAGGAAGAAAGAAAGAGAAAAAAGAAATTCAGACACACAGAGGGGCACCAGCGCAAGCTCATGTACCTAATATTAGAGGAAATGCAGAGGCAGGGGAGATGGTTTGTAATAAATGATGATACTGAGCTGGCCGCAGTGGCTCGTGCCTGGAATCCCAGCACTTTGGGAAGCCGAGGCAGGAGGATCTCATACTCTCAGGAGTTGGAGGCCAGCCTGGACAACATAGTGAGACCCCATCTCTACAAAACAAAATCTTGAAAATTAGCCAGGCGTGGTGGCATGCACCTGTAGCACCCAGCTTCTTGGGAGGCTAGTATAAATTATACTACTGGAGAGGAGGGGTGTTATTTTGGGAAAGCGAGGCGGCACGTGGGGATTCACTATCCCACTCCCAATATGCAACCCAGCCGTCTCACTCCTCCACCCTCCGCCTTAGGCCAAGCTGGGGGTGACGCCACCTGTGCCCAGCTCAGTGCCCGGTAGAAGTGTACCAGGGGAGCCCACCAGTATCTCCACACAATCATTGGACGAAAATCGTGGTTTTACTTCGCAGCTTCAGGACGAGCCCTATCGGAACCAGCAGCCCCTCACCCCAAACCAGATCGCCGCTCCGGAGCCCGCAGCTCAGCCCCACTGGCAGGACCTGCGGCTAATGCAAGGATTCTGACCAACGCGGTCTAAATAGAATGAGAAAGGGGGCTGCGGCCCGAGAAACTGAGGCAAAGCCTGGGGTGGGAGGGTGAGGGCTGAGGGGGAGGGGCAGGACTTCTCAGATGCCTGTTTACCAGGCGCTCCCCGCCCTTCCTCCGCCCAATTCCTGCGGGTGGCCAAGCCTGGCTGGGGCTGGGACGGGAGAGACCGCAGTGGGGGCGCCGTAAGGGGCCTCACCCCCAAGGTAGGGGTCAGGGCACTTGGGGGCCCGGGCGTCTCTGGGAGGACGCTGGGTTGGGCGGTCCCTGCACCACCTCCCCCCACCCCAGCCCCCTCCATCATCCCGGGGCGGGACCACGGGGCGGAGCTGGAGGGTGACCGGCCGTGACGCGTGCCCCGCCCGCTCATATAGCGGCTCCCGGGGGCGCAGGGACCGTGCTCTGCCGTCTCCACCGCATCCTCCTCCACCCGCGCCGCCGCCGCAGCTCCCCGCGCCCGCGCCACCGCCGCCGCGTCCACCCTCAGCGCCACCGCCATGCGGGAGATCGTGCACCTGCAGGCCGGCCAGTGCGGCAACCAGATCGGGGCCAAGGTGCGCGCGGGGGACGGGGCCCGGGGAGGCGGCGGCGGCGGCCCGGAGGAGCAGCGCGGGGGATCGGTCCCCGGAGCACCCCCAACCTGGGAGCCTTTGGAGAGGGATGGGGTCCCCAGGAGGCCAGCGTGCCCCAGGGGCCATGGGGGGAGGGGTCGCTGGGGGCAGGGGGCGGCAGGGCCAGGCTGGGAACAAAGAGGCTGCGGAGAGGGGGAGCCAGCCTTCTGGCCTTCTGTCCGCCTGTCACAGCTGGGCTCACAGCTGGGCCACTGTCCCCTCCTCGCGCACAAAGAGCCCCCGTGCCTCCCCCGGGCTGCAGCCTGGGTGCGCTGGCACCAGCCGGCCCCGCTGGGTGCTGACTCGGCTGCACCCCGCCCCCACCACTCCTTCCTGCTGCCTCATCCTCGCCCCGACACCATCCATGCCTCTAGGTCCCCCGTCACCTTGCTGGGGGAGAGGTGGCAACTAGGGAGGTGGTCGCCGGGTCGGGGGAGCCCTCGGCCTGGCCGCTGGCTTCCCCTCACTCAACCCTTCCCACCCCATCTCTCTCTAGTTTTGGGAGGTTATCAGTGACGAACATGGCATCGACCCCACAGGCACATATCACGGGGACAGTGACCTGCAACTGGAGAGAATCAACGTGTATTACAACGAGGCCACAGGTAGGGCGAAGAAGGCACCTTCCAGGTGGGGAGGGGCAGCCGGGAGGGGACAGGATGCTACAGGGGCGCCTGCGGTTCCTGGCATGAACGGGACTGCCCTCCATCTGTTTCCCTGCAGGAGGAAATTATGTCCCCAGAGCGGTTCTGGTGGACCTGGAGCCCGGCACCATGGACTCTGTCCGTTCTGGCCCCTTCGGGCAGATCTTTCGGCCGGACAACTTCGTGTTTGGTGAGTCCCCAGCAGGGAGCGGAGGCTGGAAAACCTCCTTATTCCTATCATTTCCAAATGCTTTGTGAACGTTCTCTACCTAATACCACAGAGTCAACGGGCACCACCAAGGCCCACAGACCAGAGGAGGGGGTGGACAGGGGACCAGGCACCAGCCCTGCATCTATGGCTGTGAGGGGGATGCTCAGGCCACTGTGAGAGCCCTGGGGAGGGCTGATACAGAGAGGGATTCAGGGAAGGCTTCCTGGAGGAGGTGACATTTTAATTGAACTGGAACCAGACTGCCTGGGTGCACATCCCAATTCTGCCATTTCATGCATTTAACAAACGGTGAGCACTTACTGCATACCAAGCCCTGTTCTAGAAGCTGCGGATACGGGGAAGAATCAAACAGACAGCTTCCTCTCTGCCCCAGTGGAGCTCACATTCTGGTGGAAGGTGATAGGCCACAGATGAAATACATCAGTAAAGCTCAGCTGGGGGATGATTCACGTGGATAACAGGGTGGGCTCTTCTAGGCCTCAAAATTCTCTTTTTTTTTCCAGATAGGGTCTGTCTGTCCAGCCCTGCCATGCAGGCCTGAGTGCAGTGGCCTCCACCTCCAGGGACAAGTGATCCTCTTGCCTCAGCCTCCCAAGTAGCTGGGACTACAGGCATGCACCACCACACCCAGCTAATTTTTTAGTTTTCTTTGTAGAGATGCCAGTCTCTCTATGTTGCCCAGGCTGGTCTCAAACTCCTAGGTTCAAGTGATCCACCCGACTCAGCTCCCAAAGTGCGGAATTACAAGCACAAGCCACCTTGTCCAGCCTCCTTGTCTTTAAACTGGATTCCACTGGGCATGGTGGCTCATGCCTGTAAACCCAGGACTATGGGAGGCTGAGTCAGGAGGAGAGCTTGAGGCCAGGAGTTTGAGACCAGCCTGAGCAACATGGTGAGACTCTGTCTCTACGAAAAGAAAAAACATTTCATTAGCTGGGTGAGGTGGTATGCACCTGTAGTCCCAGCTACTCGGGAGGCCGGGGTAGGAAGATCACGTCAGCCAAGGTCCAGGCTGCCACTGCACTCCTGCCTGAGCAATGGCATGAGACCCCATCTCTAAAAAAAGTAAAACAGGGATTTTACAATGCCAACTATTAGACTTCTGAGGTTTAAAGTCATGCATATCTGTAAAGAATTCAGACAATGCCTGACACAGAGGAAGAGGTAAATAAGCATTTGCTGTTGTTTTATTTTGAGACAGAGTCTCACTCTGTTGCTCAGGCTGAAGTGCAATGGCACAATCTCAGCTCACTGCAGCCTCTGCCTTCTGGGTTCAAGCATTTCTCCTGCCTCAGCCTCCAGAGTAGCTGGGATTACAGGCACGTGCCACCATGCCCGGCTAATTTTTGTATTTTTAGTAGATGCAGGGTTTCACCCTGTCAGTTAGGCTGGTTTCGAACTCATGACCTTGTGATCCGCCCATCTTGACCTCCCAACGTGTTGGGATTACAGGCGTGAGCGACTGTACCCAGCCTGCTGTTGTTTTCATTACCGCCGCTGCTATCTGCAGCCTAGAATGTGAGTGGGATCTGGACTTGCCAAAGGGCACTGAAGGGAGGAGAGACGTTTCAGAAGGAAACAGCATATGTGAAGACAGCGGGACATCCACACCCTTGGACAGTCCTTCCGGGAAAGCTTTCCAGGCTCGGCTGGCTACAGGTCCCCATCCTGGCCTCAGGCCCTGGCCTCACCTCCTCTGGCACCCCCAGCATCTAAAGTGTGCTGAATGCAGGGTCCTTTCTGCCTCTGAATCTTTTCTGTAACTCTCCTCTTACTTCCATTTCACAGGTGAGAAAACAGAGGCACAGAGACGTTAGGTCATATGCAGAAAGTCACACCATAAGCAAGTGGGGTGGCCAGGAATGAGGGGGTCTGACTACTAGGTCCACACATTTTTTTTTTTTTTTTTTTTTGAGATGGTGTCTTTTTTGCCCAGGCTGGAATGCAGTCGTGTGATCTTGGTTCACTGCAACCTCCGCCTTGTGGATTCAGGTGATTCTCCTGCCTCAGCCTCCCAAGTAGCTGGGATTACAGGCACTCGACACCACACTGGCCAATTTTTTGTATTTTTAGTAGAGACAGTGTTTTGCCATGTTAGCCCCGCTGGTCTCGAACTCCTGACCTCAGGTGATCTGCTTGCCTCAGCCCTCCCAAAATGGTAGGATTACCAGCATGAGCAATCACACCTGGCCTGAGTCCACACTTCTTATTTTTGAGACGGAGTTTTGCTCTGTCACCAGGCTGGAGTGAAGTGGTGAGATCTCAGCTCACTGCAACCTCTGCCTCCCAGGTTCAAGCGATGCCCCTGCCTCAGCCTCCCGAGTAAATGGGATTACAGGCACCTGCCACCATGCCTGGCTAACTTTTTGTATTTTAGTTAGACACGGGGTTTCACCCTGTTGGCCAGGATGATCTCGATCTCCTGACTTTGTGATCTGCCTGCCTGGGTCTCCCAAAGTGCTGGGATTACAGGTGTGAGCCACCATGCTCGTCAGAGTCCACACTTTTAATGCTCCTCCCACCCCCCTGGCCACCCAGAGGCCATAGAATCTCTTGGCCCAACTGAAGCCCTCTGTGGTCCTCCTGAAATCGCCCACACCCTGTGGCCAGTCTCATTTCATCTTGATTTCACCCAGCCATTTCCTGAGGGCCTGTGATGGGCCATGGCCACACACCTGCATTGTTATGTTTCGAAATCTTCCTACAAATCAGAGAGGGGAAGTCACTTGTCCAAGGTCACATAGCTTGTCTTGTCAGTCCCAAGATTCCAGAGTCTAAACCACCAAGCTCGAGAGGAAGAGGGTGGGGGTTACCAGAGATGGCTTCTCTGAGGTTGTGGCATTGAGCTGAGACTTGAAAGAGGTGAGGAAAATGTCACATGAATACCTGGAGGGAAAGCATTCTAAGCCTGGAGCAACCAGGGCTAAAGGCCCCCGGGGCAGGACCACACCTGAGAAGGCCCACGAGGCTGAAGCAGAGTGAGGGTGGGGATGAGGCAGGTTCTCAGGGCCTTCTGGGCTGCAGGGATGCTTTGGACTTTGACCCTAGGGCAGGTGGGAGCCGTGGAGGGCTGTAGGCAGAGGAGGGACAGGACCCGACTCAGGTGCCCTCTTCTGGGTACTGTGGAGAGGACAGACTGGGGGATGAGGGTGGGAGCCAGGGGACCAGGACAGAGAGGACTGAATGTATCCAGGAGGGCGACACTGGAGCTGGACCAAGGTGGAGACTGATGAGAGGCAGAGGAAGCATTAGCTGTTCACAGTAATAGTGGCCAATAGTAAGAAAACACAGGCCAGGCCAGGCCAGGCACGGTGGCTCACACCTGTAATCCCAGCACTTTGGAAGGCCAAGACGGGTGGATCACCTGAGGTCAGGAGTTCAAGATCAGCCTGGCCAACATGGTGAAACTCCATCTCTACAAAAATACAAAGATTATCTAGGCATAATGACCGATGCCTGTAATCCCAGCTACTCTGGAGGCTGAGGCGGGAGAATCCCTTGAATCCAGGAGACAGAGGTTGTAGTGAGCCAATATCATGCCACTGCACTCTAGCCTGGGCAACAAAGCAAGACTCTGTCTCAAAAAAAAAAAAGAAAACACAGGCCAGGCATGGCGGCTCACGCCTATAATCCCAGCACTTTGGGAGGCCAATGCAGGTAGATTGCTTGAGCTCGGGAGTGCAAGACCAGCCGGGGCAACATAAGGAAACCCCACCTCTACGAGAAAAAAAAACAAAAATTAGCCAGACGTGGTAACATAAGCCTGTGGTTCCAGCTACTTCAGAGGCTGAGGCAGGATCACTTGAACCTGGGAGGTTGAGGCTGCAGTGAGCCATGATTACACCACTGTACTCCGGACTGGGCAACATGGCAAGCCCCTGTCTGAAAATGATAATAATGTTAATTACTAATCCTTTTTTGTTATTTATTTATTTTAGAGACAGGGTCTCGCTCTGTCTCCTAGGCTGGAGTGCAGCAGTGTGGTCATAGCTCACTACAGCCTCCAGCTCCCAGGCTCAGGCAGTTCTGCCACCTCAGCCTGCCGAGTACTGGTATTACAGGCATGCCACCACCATGACTGGCTAATTTTTTTTATTTTTATTTTGTAGAGACAGGGTCTCACTATGTTGCTCAGGCTGGTCTTGAACTGCTGGACTCAAGAAATCCTCCCACCTCGGCCTCCCAAAGTGTTGGGATTACAGGCATAAGTCATGTGCCCAGTCTTGATGGGGGAGACGTGTGTGTGTTTTTGAGATGGAGTCTCACTCCATCGCCCAGACTGGAGTGCAGTGGCTCAATCTCGATGCACTGCAGCCTCCTCCTCCCGGTTTAAGCAGTTCTCTTGCTGCAGCCTCCCAAGTAGCTAGGGACTTACAGGTGCCTGCCATCACGCCTGGCTAATTGTTACTATTTTTATTTTTTTTTATTTGGAGATGGAGGCTTGCTCTGTTGCCAGGCTGGAGTGCAGTGGTGTGATGTCGACTCACTGCAGTCTCCGCCTCCCAAATTCAAGCAGTTCTCCTGCCTCAGCCTCCCGAGTAGTTGGGACTACAGGCATGCGCCACCACGCCCAGCTAATTTTTGTATTTTTAGTAGAGACAGGGTTTCATCATGTTGGCCAGGCTGGTCTCGAACTCCTGACCTTGTGATCCACCTGCCTCCGCCTCCCAGAGTGCTGGGATTACAGGTGTGAGCCACCGCGCCCGGCCATTGTTATTATTTTTGATAGTTAACTAGTATCCAACTACTAGAGGCCCTCCAGGTGGTGGAGAGGTGGGGTCGAGGGTGGGGGCTCCCCATAACTACCCGTGTGTCCCCTCCCCTTCCCCCTCCAGGCCAATCTGGAGCCGGCAACAACTGGGCAAAGGGGCACTACACAGAGGGCGCAGAGCTGGTGGATGCTGTCCTGGACGTGGTCCGGAAGGAGGCCGAGAGCTGTGACTGTCTCCAGGGCTTCCAGCTGACCCACTCGCTGGGGGGCGGCACGGGGTCCGGGATGGGCACGCTGCTCATCAGTAAGATCCGGGAGGAGTTCCCAGACCGCATCATGAACACCTTCAGCGTGGTGCCCTCGCCCAAGGTGTCAGACACGGTGGTGGAGCCCTACAACGCCACGCTGTCCGTGCACCAGCTGGTGGAGAACACGGACGAGACCTACTGCATCGACAACGAGGCGCTCTACGACATCTGCTTCCGCACCCTCAAGCTGACCACCCCCACCTACGGGGACCTCAACCACCTGGTGTCGGCCACCATGAGCGGGGTCACCACCTGCCTGCGCTTCCCGGGCCAGCTCAACGCCGACCTGCGCAAGCTGGCGGTGAACATGGTGCCCTTCCCGCGCCTGCACTTCTTCATGCCCGGCTTCGCGCCCCTGACCAGCCGGGGCAGCCAGCAGTACCGGGCCCTGACGGTGCCCGAGCTCACCCAGCAGATGTTCGACGCCAAGAACATGATGGCCGCGTGCGACCCGCGCCACGGCCGCTACCTGACCGTGGCCGCCGTGTTCCGGGGCCGCATGTCCATGAAGGAGGTGGACGAGCAGATGCTGAGCGTGCAGAGCAAGAACAGCAGCTACTTCGTGGAGTGGATCCCCAACAACGTGAAGACGGCCGTGTGCGACATCCCGCCCCGCGGCCTCAAGATGGCCGCCACCTTCATCGGCAACAGCACGGCCATCCAGGAGCTGTTCAAGCGCATCTCCGAGCAGTTCACGGCCATGTTCCGGCGCAAGGCCTTCCTGCACTGGTACACGGGCGAGGGCATGGACGAGATGGAGTTCACCGAGGCCGAGAGCAACATGAACGACCTGGTGTCCGAGTACCAGCAGTACCAGGACGCCACGGCCGAGGAGGGCGAGTTCGAGGAGGAGGCCGAGGAGGAGGTGGCCTAGGCTGTTCCCATCGCTTCGCGTCTGTCCGCTCGAGGCCTGAGGTCTGACCTTTGACCTCCCAAGCCCCCCATCTCTGACCCTCCTAGAGCCCCGCTTCCCCTCCAAGCCTGACACCCCTGTGACTTCGCCCTGACCCTAACGATGCCTTTAGAGCACCCTTTACCTCTGTCTCCTTCATCTCCGACCCTGGCGCCCCTTTGACCCTTGAGCCCTCGTGTATCTTTGACCCCCTGGAGCTCTTCCAACCTTGGCATTCCCAGGAGGATCCCCACTATACCCCCTCTGACTCTGGAAACTGTACCTTTCACTTTGTGGGCCCTCCTTCACCCCTGACCTCTGCTGCACCTGTGACCCCTGCCCTCCATGAGTCCCATTTTACCTTTAGATCTGTTAGTCCTGGTTTCCATTTGACCCTTTTCTCTGAGCTGCACTTCACCTCTGACCTTGCCTCACCTCTGATCCCTGCCCCCACCTGAGCCTCAGCTCCTACCTCTGGCACCAACTTCTCTTTGACCCCCTATGAATCTCAGTTGACCTCTAGACCTATAAGTCCTGGTTTACACTGGACCCCTCTCTGACCTGGCCTCGCCTTTCACCCCCAACAGCCCCAGCTTCTACCTCTGACCCCAGCTTCTCTGGTTCCCACAGGCTCCTGCATCCTCCCTGCCTCACTCCCCTCAGCCCTGGCCGACCTTAGCTTATCTGGGGGAGAAACAAGGCCTGGTGCCTGTGAGGGTGAGAGGCGGCCCCTGCCCTCCCTCCCCGCTTCCCTGCCATGCCCTCGCTAAATAAATGAATTCTGCTGAATGTTTCTGCCCAATTCCTGTTTTGTCTCATACAGCAAGTGCAGGCTTTTCTCTACAGGATGGAAGACGGAACCGATGACATCTCATCTCTGGGTGGGGGGGTGTGCTGGGGAGGGGTCAGATGGGCCAGACTAAGCCACCCACTAACCCAAATTGACTAAGCCATTTGCCCTCTCTGAGCCTCGGTTTTTCCCACCTGTAAAATTGGATCATGTGTTTTTCCCCCAGGATCCCCCCACATCTGTTACAGGAATGGGGTCCCAATCCAGACCCCAAGAGACAGCAAGAAAGAATTCAGCACTAGTCTGTTAAGTGAGAGCATGTTTATTAAGAAGGTAAAGGGGCTGGGTGTGGTGGCTCACACCTGTAATCCCAACATTTTGGGAGGCCGAGATGGGTGGATCACCTGAGGCCAGGAGTTCCAGACCAGCCTGGCCAACATCGCGAAACCCCTTCTCTACTAAAAATACAAAAATTAGCCAGGCATGATGGCAGACACCTGTAGTCCCAGGTACTTGGAAGGCTGAGGCAGGAGAATCGCTTGAACCTGGGAGGTGGAGGTTGCAGTGAGCCGAGATTGTGCCACTGCACTCTAGCCTCGGTGACAGAGCGAGCCTCCATCTCAAAAAAAAAAAAAAAAACAAGAATGGCTACTGCATAGACAGAGCAGCCCAAAGGGCTGCCAGTTGCCCATTTTTATGGTTATTTCTTGATGATATGCTAAATGAGGGGTGGATTATTCATGCCTCGCCTTTTTAGACCATATAGGGTAACTTCCTGACATTGCCATGGCATTTGTACACTCTCATAGCACTGGTGGGAGTGTAGCTCTCGGACTATCTTAGTTTTGGTGGGCTTTGGCTGGCTTCTTCACTGCAACCTATTTTATCAGCAAGGTCTTTCTGATCTGTATCTTATCCGGACCCCCTATTTCATCCTGTGACTTAGAATGCCTTAACCATCTGGAAATGCAGCCCGGCAGGTTTCGGGTCTCAGCCTCATTTTACCCAACTCCTGTTCAAGATGGAGACGTTCTGGTTGACACGCCTCTGATACACCAACCTCAGAATTGTTCATGAGGCTCTGAGGAGATCGCAGGAGCATCGAGTGGGTGCTTGGTGGCAAAGGAGCTGCTGTTCTCTGTGTAGCATCTTGCAAATATGGAAGGCAGGAAGGGAAATCTGTAGGGAAGGGTGCCAGTGAGACGGCAGCCTGAGCTGGCACCCAAGTGGCAATCCTGCCAGAGGAACCACACAGCTCACCCACATGAAATTCTTCCATGTAGCTGATTCATGCCTCATTTCATGCAAGCCTCACACCAACCCTGGAAGGCCTGAGTTTCTAACCCCTTTCAAGCCAAGGTTTAGAGAGAAAAATGTGTATCAGAGAAAAAAAATAAAGAAAATGGAAAAGAAATGTGTATCAGTTAGCTTTTGCTGTGTAACAAACAATCCCCCAAAACTTAGTGGCTTAAGACAACAACAGATATTTATTTTGCTCCCAAATCTGTAATTTGAGCAAGGATTGGTGAGGCAGTTCATTCAGGCTCCCCATGACATCAGCCAGAGCATCTCAGCTGGAGGCAGAGGGAGCTACTTCCAAGGTGGCTCACAGCTGATTGGCCAGGTGGTGCCAATTATCAGCTGGGGGCTCAGAAGGAGTAAGGAGAACAAAGTGCTCCATGCCTCTTCATTCTTCGCCTTTCTCCTTATACAGAGGAGCTTCTCCTTGGTGACCCAGAGTCTGCTTGGGCTTCCTCATAGCATGGCCACCGGGTTCACCCAGAACAAACATCCCAAGAGAGCAGGACAGAAGTAAATGTAAAAGAAAAATGGATTGCGTTTTTATGACCTAGCTTCAGAAGTCATAGTGTCACTTACTCAGGACTCGCCATCAAGGCAGTCACTAAGGCTTGTTCAGATTCAAAGGGATGAGGTACAGACTCCAACTCTTTTCTTTTTGAGACAGGATCTCACTCTGTCACCCAAGCTAGAGTGCAGTGGTGTGATCATGGCTCACTGAAACCTCAAACTCCTGGGCTCAGGCGATCCTCAGCCTCCAGACTAACTAGGACTACAGGCATGTGCCACCACATCTGGCTATTTTTTATTTTTAGTAGAGATTAGAGATAGGGTCTCACTTTGTTGCCCAGGCTAGTCTCCTGCCTCAGATCCCGAAGTGCTGGGATTAAAGGCATGAGCCACCACACCTGGTCCACACTCCAGCTCTTTTGTTTTTGTTTTGAGAGTTTCACTCTTGCTGTCCGGGCTGGAGTACAATGGTGCGATCTTGACTCACTGCAACTTCTGCCTCCTGAGTTCAAGCAATTCTCTTGCCTCAGCCTCCTGAGTAGCTGGGATTACGGGTGCCTGCCACTGACCCAGCTAATTTTTGTATTTTTAGTAGAGACAGGTTTTACCATGCTGACCAGGCTGGTCTCAAACTCCTGACCTCTGGTCATCCAGCCGCCTCAGCCTCCCAAAGTGCTGGGATTACAGGCATGTGCCACCATGCCCGGCCCACACTCCAGCTCTTGATAGTAGAGTGACAAGATTCTAGAAGAGCTTGTAGCATGAGCAATAGAGCCATGGCCATCTTTAGTAATTACAAATTTTTGGCCAGGTGCAGTGGCTCACTCCTGTAATCCCAAAATTTTGGGAGGCAGGGCGGGCAGATTGCTTGATGCAATCTGGCAAAACCCTGTCTCTACAAAAAAAAAAAAAGTTGTCTTTAATTAGCTGGGTATGGTAGTACACACCTGTAGCTCCAGCTACTCAGCAAGCCAAGGTGGGAGAATCGCCCAGGCCCAGGAGGTCAAGGCTGCAGTGAGCTGAGCTGTAATTGTACCACCACACTACAGCCTGGGTGACAGAGTGAGACACTGTTGAAGAAGTGAAAAGAGGAAAGGAGAAGTGAGGAAAGGGGAGGGGAGGGGAGGAGAAGAGAGGAGAGGAAAGGGAAAAAAGTAAAGAAGGAAGTAGAAAGAGAAAAGAAAGGAGGAAAGGAAGGCAGGCAGGCAGGCAGGAAAGAAGGGAGGAAGGAAGGGAGGAAGAAGGACTTACTCCAGCTGGAGTGCCGTGTGGGAACCATTCCAGGTATTTTAACCAGAAAGGAACTTAATACAAGAATTGATGGTGCTTGCAAAATCGTAGGAAGGCACTGAGAGAGTGGGCTGTAGGCTTCTGAAATTTTACTGTGCAAAAGAATCAGAAGAACAACTCGCTAAAGCACAGCTTCTTCAGTCCCACCCCCTCACAGTTTCAGATTCAGTAAGTAGGTCCAGGGCGGGTCCTGAGACTTTTGTATTTTTAACAAGCTCTCAGGAAATGCTAAAATGTGTGAATAAGACCACACGCTGAGCAGCCCCAGAATAGGTAGGACCCTCGTGACACCACGGAGCTGGGTCTCCAAGGAGAAGCTCCTCTGTATGAGGAGACAGGTGAAGAACGAAGAGGGAGTTACCAGAACCATGACCAGGAAATGGGTCCAAGAACACAAATTCATGAAAACAAAATGTATAGCTTCACATCCCTGCTTCTCAGCAAGAGACACACACCCACGCCGCCTCACTTCCACTTTCTGACTCTCATGAGCGTTTCTCATTGGTGGAACCAATTCTGCATCCAGAAATGCAGCTGCAAAGGCACCTGGGAAATGTAGGGCTTAGGGCAGGTTTTTTTTCCAGCCTCTGCGTCAGGAAGGCAAGCCCGGGGGAAGGGTAGCTGAGCGGGGGAGACCCTGAGAGCCAAACAGTAGTGTCCATGCTCTGTGATCCCGGGACCTACTGGAGGCCGGCTTCTGCAGGAGTGAGGAAGCCTAGGTGCGAGTTCCTGAGGCTGGGGCCGTCCTGCTTACCTCGGCCCAGGGGTCTAAAATCACAGCCTCCCCGGGCTCGGCCCCACATTTGAGAGGAGAGATGCCTCGAAGAGCCTGGTCTTGAGGTCTCGGGCTAGACCACCAGACCCAGGCTGGAGCCCCGGCCTTCTGGCTAGGTTCCCATGCAGCCAGTAATAAGGAGAGGCATGAGGGAAAGAGCCTGGACATCAGCCCACAGCAACGTCAGCAGGCACAGCACAGCTGTCGGTGCTAGACCAGAACGACAAAGGACTTGAGCACCAGCATGGTGGGTAGATCTGGGCCGGGTTCCCCACTTAGCATCTTCCTGCCTTGCACAAGGCACTTAACTACTCAGAAGTGTGGAGCGGGGAGGTTATTTGTTTTTGTCTTGGGGTTCTTTTATTTATTTTTATTTCAAAACGGAGTTTCGCTCTCGTCACCCAGGCTGCAGTGCAGTGGCGCAATCTCTGCTCGATGCAACCTCCGCCTCCCAGGTTCAAACAATTCTCCTGCCTCAACCTCCCAAAGTGCTGAGATTAAAGAGCGAGCAACCACGTCAGGCCAGGTATAGCTTTTAATCTGTTTCTGAGACAGAGCCTCACTCCGTTGCCGGGAGAGCAGTGGCATGATCTCGATTCACTGTAGCCTCTAACTCCTGGGCTCAAGGGATTCCCCCCTCCACCTCAGCCTCCTGAGTAGCTGGAACTACAGGTGTGTACCACCACACCCAGCTAATTTAAATTTTTTTTTTTTTTTGAAGTGTAGTCTCACTCTGTCACCCATGCTGGAGTGCTGTGGTGTGATCTCAGCTCACTGCAACCTCCACCTCCCAGGTTCAAGCAATTCTCCTGCCTCAGCCTCTGACTAGCTGGGATTATAAGCGTGCACCACCACACCTGGCTACTTTTTGTGTTTTTAGTAGACACGGGGTTTAACCATGTTGGCCAGGTTGGTTTTGAACTCCTGACCTCAGGTGATCCGCTCGCCTCAGCCTCCCAAAGTGATGGGATTACGGGCGTGAACCAAAGCACCTGGCCGGCACCCAGCTATTTTTAGAATTTTTTTGTAGAGATGGGATCTTAATATATTGTTCAGGCTGGTCTTGAACTTCTGGCCTCAAGTAATCTTCCAGCCTCAGCCTCCCAAAGTCCTTGGATTACAGGG